AGGCCATTCTGTGATTCTATGATTCTGTGCTTCTATAATATTTAAAATCAGTCATACATCTCTGACTTTTGAATTTTCTATCAAAAAATTATTTTGCTTCTAGATTTGTTTTTAAATAACTATCTTTATCATTAAAAAAAAAAAACCACTCTCAAAATAACATTTAAAGAAATGCTAAGGCAGAAATATTTTCTTCCAAATGCCTCTTTAAATGTTTGAATTCTTGCTGATTATTAAAAAAAATGTTTTAGGATATCAAAGTTTCTAAACACATTTTATCAGATGAATGAAAGTTGAGAGAAAAACAAGTGGATTACCCTTTTTGTAGGTAGGGGAATTATATGCTTTGTTCCACTGATGTGTCCACTTTACATTATTCAGCACAAAGCTTTCTGAAATAAGAATCATGGGAATATCACAGTATAAAAGAAAAAGGTACAAATAACAGCTTCATAAACTGAGAAATGTACATAAATAAATCATGTAGATCTGGGCAGTTTGCTTAGCTGGCATGAAAAAAAATATAGAAAATCTGCTTGTTAAACAATAACCACAAAGTGTGCTTTTATGATGTTTTTCACCACAGTAATTCATATTAGAGATAGAAGCAGTTGCATGTTAAAGAAAATCATTCAGCATTGTTCTCCTCACATTACAAAGAGCTGACTTGTGTTGTTTTTAGATGCCTCCCATTAGAAAGTAAATATTCCTCTGATGTTACGCATTTCAGAAAATTTAATAAAGATGAACTGTAAATGAAGTCACAGGGAGATTTCAGACAGTTTTATTAGCAGATTGTTGAAAAGAAAAGAAAATTAAATACAATAACAGTAAACGTGGTTCTCACATTGAAACCAGGCTCAAATAACTAGGCTACCATAGAAAAATTTCCAATTCTTGCATTATGATGTAAAAACAGATTTTTGTACAGATTTTGTACAACAAAATTCGTAATAACCTTTTTTTCATTTTTAGAAAACTTTAAATATATAGATAAAAATAGACAATTTTCATAGGTCCTACATGAAGATGAGTATGTTCTGTTCCAAGGGCTTGCATAGAGCGCAAATATGGTTATAATATAGAACAACTAGACATTAATATCTTTGATTACAAAAGCATATAAACAATAACATGAGCACAACTTCATCTATGAAAAAAAACCAAAACAAAACAAAATTTGAAATAAAAAACAAAATACCAACCCAAAACCTGTATAACTAAAGAGGGGCAAAAAATTCAACTTACGTTAACATCTCATGGTCTGTAATATTTACACTGTTTTTTAGCAAGATTCTTTCTAAACATCCAGCTTATAAATTGCTTCCCCCTTAAACCTTAACATTTCCATTTATGTACCAAGCCAAACAATGAGGCATTCCCAAAGGTCTTGAAAGTATATACTGTAAAACTACTAAAACCTACTTAAGCTGACTCTATGCAAGGAGCAGAGCAATGGTAGATGCTACTACATATTTCAGTTGTAGGCTTTTAATTCTCTTTCAGATATGAATGATTAAAAAGCTTGACACAAATCCACCTAACTTTACAGCTGTTAACCCTTTAAAGACTGCATATGAAAAAACTGGAGTGCAGAATCTCATAAGTGTTCAAGCAACTACGAAAATTACGAAAAAATCATGGGTAGAAAATAATGTCACTATAAAGTATTAGATAACAATATTTAATGAAAAATATTGCTCGGTATTTCTTTAAAAAAAATTACCATGATGTGAACTTTTATATACATATTTTCTGTTGTTAAAAAAGGATTGTGATGGAGTAAATATGAACTGCACAAAATAAATGTGTACCAGTATTGCAAGGAAGACCTACTAACTATAGAAGCTCAGTGCTAGTGTTTACAAAACATTAGATTATTTTTTTTGACAAAATAATATTAATATCCAATCAGAACTATTTTTAAAGAAACATTTGTTTTAAGTTAGGCATCTTAGACATTTAAGATTTTGATACGTTTCCATGTAATAAATAATATTTTATATGCATAAAACATGAAAGATGAAGAAAGCATAATTGCAAAACTTACAGTAATAGCACTGATTCACAAAATCAGTCTTTAAAGGGGTAACCCAAAAGTATGCAAAGCAAAGAAGATAATTGCTAGTTATGTAATAAGCACTGTGTTGCAGCTTACTTCCAGTTATCAGCACAAAGTTGAAAACACATATTGTAGCTTTTATAAAGACAGTGAAAGTAACACATAACCACCAGTCCCTATGACAAGGTGGGAGGGACAACAGACTTCAACTGTATCACTCAGTTCTACGTGGAATTGGACTGATACATCAAGTGTTTGTTAGGTTTTCTTTTTTTTTTAGCAACATTGACGTAATATGACATTAACATATAAAAATATTTCTGGCATTTTGACTTGCTGCTCAGCCACAGTCCATTCTTAAAAGTGCACTAATCAGGGCACTAACCAGGGCTCAATATACAAATAAAAGTGGCTGATACATAATTCTGACTTGTTACCAGATGCTTAAGATCTCATTCAGTAATACTGTGACTCCAGGACAAATATTTACATGCCTGCATGCGTTAAAACTAGAAAGGTGTCTTTCTGACCAACAGGGTGACAAAACAATATTATCTAAAATTTTTCATTTCCTAAACGCTAGATTTCTACTGCATACATAATACCTTCCTTGTGTGATTTGTGTTATATACTGTACATGTGACCAACAGTTTGATAAGAAGCAAAGTCATTTATTTCACAAACCCCTGCCAGTTTACAATGAGAAATTATTACTCTTTTAATTGTGTTTTTTTTATTTTATTTTATTTTAGGAAAAGAGACTTTGTGAATAGTAAAACAGTTTGTTTACATTCAGCATTTCTTTTCACTTACACAAAATTCCATTTTACTTAACGTAGATTTACATACATGTGTTGGTCTCTCAGAAAGCATGTGGAAAAATGTCTTTAGAAGAAAACCCACGATCATAGTCTGAAAACTGAATGTATCAATTTTTTCTTTTTTTTCTTTTTACTTTTTTCTTTTTTTTTTCTTTTTCTTCTTCTTCTTCTTTTTTTTTTTTTTTTTTTTTTTTTTTAAGAATCCTCTTATGCCCTCTACAAGTTCATTTCTGAGCTGTCTTGCTGGTTTCGGTATGATATAACAGTCTGTGAGTGTACTTTGACACCACTGGAAGGATCATTTGATGTGCTCAAATATAGAATCATCAGAGGAGGACAGAGTCTGCATTCCTGGAAAAAGGGAATACTCAACCTTGTTCTGACCTGCCTGTAGTTTTGGTACAATAGTCCGGTGCACAGATGAAGATTTTCACTGTAAGAAGATTGCTACTGTACATTTACAAACATTCTCTATAGCTCTGGCTTGAGCCACAGGAGATAACCAAAGGAGGACACTCTTGCAGAATTCCTTACACTTCTGAAGAACATTGGTAAATGAAGTTGAAAACATTTTGTTCCCACAGAACTCCATTCAGGTGAATGTCTTACTGCAAAGTTCTTTACCATAGCACAGGTATCTTCAGCAGGAAAAATTCAGTACATGACAGTAGTTTTCAAATAAAGTCTTCCATCTAGAATATGAAAAACAAACATTTGTTTTAAAAATTTGTATCTGCAATGAATCAAAAAGAGAGGAAAAAGCTCAAGATTTAAAAACCATGTAATTCTGTGAACTGCCACCTATGGTACTTATTGCCTTAAATATTAAAAAAAAAAAAATCAAAAAGTCCAAACATCACCATTGTGATTTCATCTGAAAGTGGTCAAATTAACTCCATTAAAAATTATACACACTTCAAGTTGTGAATACTGTACTACCTCCTGAAACTTTAATATATGCTGCACTCATATCAGTGCTAGGGCACCAGGAATGTAGGTGGAGCCTCTGTGCATGTGTTTTTACTGATATGCAAACTTAACCGAATAATGCTGAACAGCAATTATTCCCTTCATGGTTGCAGAGCAAAAATCTTCTTGCATGCAGTCGTTAGTACTCCCACCACTAAAGGCATAGCTCATACTTTTTGATTTAGCAGTGTTGTTAAATATACCATGTAATGTAACCATTGTGCACATTTGTAGCTATTTATATAGAACCCGGTATAGGATATTTAATCAGTATCAGTGAAGTATAGCCTCCTTCCCCCATAAATGAGATTAACTGAACAATTACTATGTTAAAGACGTGAGCATGTCTCTCTCCTCAGTGTTTTTTCCAACCGAGAAGCATATATTTAAGTGAGAAGTGTATAATGGAGATAGAACGTGAGAAACAGCAAGCTCACCCATCTAGTAGCTGCTGATCTATAAAAACTTGAAGAGAACTTTCTGCTATAACACATTCTCACCTAATTTACAAATATAAAGCAAATCATTCTTCACTGGGAACATGAACATCTTCTGCTTACAGCAATACAAAGAGATATTTTTGAACAGTAAACAGACAGAAAAAAAATGATACGTGCTTATTTTGCTGACCTGTAAGTGTTTCTTCCTTGTGAGTAAGGCACATTGTGAAGCATATTAATCCTTCACAATGCACAACTATGGAATGCTACTTATATTTTAAACTATAATCCGCCTGGAAATATAAGCAGTAACTCCTGACATCTGCATGAACCACTTCTGGACCAAGTAATTTGCATCAGCATATGTTCATAAGATATCAAGCGATTCTTGTTTCTATTTTGGTTTTCTTAGTTTCATTGCTCACTCCCAATTGTTGTTGTTTTTTTTTTAATTTATAATAAGTACACAGATAGCAATTGCTTGTGATGAACCTATATACATGATTGCTGTAATTTTTCAAATGGTGGGCTTTGATTAAAACATGGCTTCATTTCCGCAAGTTCTCTGTTGAGGTGAAGAAAAGTTTAACTAGAAAGTACAAGTTGGGAAAATACACCTCCTCTGCACACCACTTTCCAATTTTTATTGTTTAATTTCTACTGTAACTGCATAGGAGAAAGAGGAAATAGTAGAATCTCTTCCTATGTTACAGTAATTATTATCCAGTATACCTCTAGTGTTCCTTTTCTATCTCCTGTTTTCTATTCAAAGCTTCTGGGGTATACCCTCTTTTGCTATTTTCCCCTGTATCTTTACATTTCCTCTTCCCCTCTCCCCTTCTTTTGCAATCCAAGATTTTCTTTTTTTTTTTTTTTTTTTCCCAGAGTGGATGATAACTTTCCCACCACTTGGAGCGCTTTCACTCAGAATCATTTCTACATTCTCTAAACTTGTTATGATCTCTGTGTACTGAAGAGAGACAAAAAGAAATTGAGTAAGGCCTTTTTTTTTTACAGAATAATTTTTTATTCTTCTTTGATGCATGAAGTACAAGTAAATTGCTTACAGGAATTCAGGAGAGAAAGAATGAACCTTCGAAAGTGAGTTTGGTAAAACTGAAGGTCTAGTAAACCATCTTAAAAAAACATCTCTGCAGCAAGTGCAGAACAGTAGCTAAGGCTACTAATAGCTGTAGTCACACATAATTCTCCTACACGTTTTGAATAAACGCAGTAGACATTTAGAGTACTAAATCTGTCTTGATACCTCTGTAGGAGAATTACTCTGTATATATACCAGCACTCTGGCAATCTTGAATGCGTATTTGCTAATGACTGCTATGCATAATTCCCACACCTAAACATTAAGATAACCTACAGTTATTAACATGTATTATATTTTACTGTATTAAGTCGCCACATGCCTTTTAAATGAAACACATATTAAAACATATTCTCAATTAAAATTAGAGTTGTATGAAGCTAAACCCTTGTAACAGCCAACAAAAAGTCAACAAGCTGTAGAGAACACTTATACATTTTAAGATTCAGATGTGTTTTGCACTGCTTAAGGATTATCTGGCAGTGACAGAAGATAGGCAGTAGATAGATTATGATGTAGATAAAGTACTTTGATGACTAAGTCAATAAGAATTGCAAATTTTTTAAGAATTGCAAAAATATTTCTTTTTCTTTTTTTCTTCTTTTTTTTTTCAAGATTATGAAAAATTAGGTGCTTCTTTGTAGAAGGTGACACTTTTAGTGTCACAATATCTTTGGAACTGTTTACAACACTTTCATAATAACCATGACTTTGGGAGAAGGAGAAAGGTAAGTCATTTCTTCAGGTTTTTTACTAGCATGCTCTAGCATGTGTAGCCACTCATGAAGAATGTACGCCAGGTAAATAGCACTGTGCATTAGAAACAAGACTTCAAACTATAGAAGGAAAAATAGGTAGCTCGCAGCTCTGAAGAGGAATGATTATTTCACACTTTTATGGGGGGATCAAATACAGTGCTTCTATCTGATTGTTGTCCTTTTTCTTTTATCAGACTGCTGTTCCTTTCTTCCAAATCATTTCCATCTCAATTCTCATTGTTCAAAGGTTCTTCTGAAATTACTAGAGCCTCTCAATGTTGTTGTCAAAATCACCTCAAACATTCTGCCTCTAGGTGTAGCCAGTGTTCCTATCTGAATGCCAGTGGAGTATTACTGATAGCCCTTCTTGATTTTAGGGCTAAAATCACAAGCAAAATCTACAAGTCCCAACAGTACTAAGTTAACAGTAAATCATGCAAGCTCATGCTAAATAACCCTGTGAAAATGCTGCTACTTTTACTCCTGCCTCATTAGCGTGGCTCTCCTTCCTGCCTCCAGATCAGCTTTTGTTATAAACATACTTCATATTATTTTCTACCATTAGTAAATGCAGAATTTATCTATTTATATATAAATCATTTAATATAAAAAAAATACATTATTCACACAAACATTGACGTTTGCACACTAGCATACACTACACATACACATGCTATTCTCTAAAATTGTTTAAAATGCTGGAGTATCTTTTTAGCCTACTGAAATTTGTTGATCTGTGGTAAAGCATGTCAAATTTACTAACTTCTACACAGAATATAAATCTCTTAGGAATTAAGCAAAAACATGAACTGGGAAAATATTGCTACATTTCTAAATAGAACTGTGCATGATTAGCAGACTGTCATCTGTTTTAATTGCTCTTTTGCAAATAGTAGTGTTCAGCAAGATCACACAAGCTCATGCTAGTAAATAAAACTGAAAATGCTGCTACTCCTAAATCTAATTTCTTTCTCTCTGTGGACTGATGTGACAGAAATTCTAGCCGGGGTGAGGGAGTATTTTTTTAGATTAACTTTTTTTAATTAAAACTCACTTTGAGGCTTTTGAATGAACATGCCCAAATAGTTAGAAGGTCATAAGTGTTATAGAAAACAAACGGATCTGCCATAAAAGTTTGCAATGCTGAAACAAATCACATTCCTTAAAATGCCTTCCCACAGAGAAGTCAGCTGGAGACTGATTCACACTAACGTATGGGTAGACTGTAGCATATCTATGGGCCTAACAGTTTCTTATATTAAAAACATAAAACCACTCAAATATTATTCCTGTTAATATGAATTCTTGTAAAGTGATAAAAATCTACAATGAAATGTTGTGTGATTATAGTTGCAAACTAAATAAATAATACATTAGATGATTACACGTTTTTCTGTCATTCACTGCAAGTCACACTGGTTTATCATTCAGATTCATCATATTTTAGTTTGTATCCTGAGAGCTGCTTTAAAAAATGAGCATAATGATAATCATGACTCTCATAAGAGCATACTACAGCCTTTAGTTTATAAAAATCTGCAAATCTGCATCCAAGGTGTGGCATCAGACCTGAGTTTAGTCAACTGCTATCATAAAAATGCCTTCTGAGGAAAACCCTCCTCGGCAAGGTGAAAATGTTTGGAAAACAAAAGAAAAAGAAAAAATCACAGAAGATATGGTGGCATATTGCAGATTACTAATGAGAAAAACCAGAGTCTTAGTGTTGTTTTTTTTGTTTGTTTGTTTGTTTTTGTTTTTTTAAATGAAAAAATGATGTATAAGAAGGAGAAAAAAATGAACAAAATCAGGGAACTCTGTTGGAGCTTTGTAAAGGTAGAATGGTTTGGATTTATGGTTGACTAGTTAATTAATTGCACTATCTTTATTTTTCGTGTATGACCACAACTTGTGAGCCACAGAACAATAAATGCCAGTCCAAAATCCAGTAACACTTATATTAAAGTAACCCAAATTTATTGTCACTATAGTTCCTAAAATACCTTTAACACAATTTTGTCAAATATGCATAGGCCATTGATTGAGCTGATCTTCAATCAAAACAAGTCTTAGGGATATCTGAATGGTGGACCTATTCATCCATTTCTGTTTTCAAAGTGAAGAACACACAACAAATTGATTTCTCTTTCATTAATAAGAATACAACTGAAAGAGACAGGATAGGAACTGTATTCCCAGCTCAGACTCCAAAGTAATCCGTGACTTCCCTGTTCTTCTGTGTCTTTCTCTAACTTTTCCATATCTCTTCTTAGGTAACCGAGAATCACTGTGGTATTAGTTTCTCAGTCTGCTTTTTGTCTTTAGCAGTGTTATTTACCCCATTAGCATGAAACACACAAACACACACACACAAATTGAAATTGTAGGTTCTTGGCTCAAAATGAAATCCATTTCTATTGCTGGTG